TAGTTTTTTTTTTTAGCCAATGAGAAGACAGATGGTGACTACAATGTATAATGATTTTAACTATTAACAACATCCAATTAAAATTCTGAGGAGCTCCGCCTTTAGGCCTGGTTAAATCTATATATTATATGGATGTCCTTCGAGATTTCTTTCACTGAAGTCACATTTTCACCTTCATTTTCACTGTCATTTCACCTTCAGCGTACAGATATTTGTTTGCCGTTCGGTGATCAGATGAAAATAACCTCGAGCGAAAACTTATCCCAATACGCCTTGCGAGTCATGTCCAACACTGCCTGGTTCATGGCCATGTTTTCCTTGCAAAAACAATGCCTCAGGTGTACTTGGGTTTCATCGAGCAGGAAAGCACCGTTCTTAACACTACTGAACAGTTTCTTTCAAATGTAAGTCTTAAGTTAACCTTCATTAAAGTTCAGGCCAAATAGAGCAGCTAGAGATGTCCGTTCAATTGCACTTCGAAGCCCTAATTAATGTGGCTAAGGCTCTTTGCTGTCTGAAGCATTATCGACACAATGCAAACGACCTAATTACGTGGCTAAACGGCGACCCGTTGCATCTCAGGGCCGTCTCATGTAGGATTATTGACAAAACTTAATAGCATATCTTTTTTTTTTTGTATTTTATGGTTTTTATTTGTAAGTTGTGCAAGGGACAAGCAAAGAGATACTATAATGCTAGTTTTACAATACAGACACACACACAAATAAACACACAAAAAAAAGAAGAAAAAGGGAGGTAAAGAAGCCTATCATCATTACAATGTAAATAGATCTCTACATACACCATCACAAAACATAAACTAAATTAGCTGAAGCAAGGTACAAATTAGTTCCATTTTTCATAATGTTTTACCAATTTATTGCTGGTAACATCAATTTTCTATTCAATCTGACAAGTTGCTTTAACCTTGGCTATGAAGACTTTTAGAGAAGGATGTATGATATTTTAATTACAATTATAAATATAATATTTGGTTAATAAAATAATATGGTTTAGAATATGAAAGTCCTCTGCGACATTGAATACTCCAAATATAACATTTTCTGGCGTTAAGGATGTTGAGATTACCTTCTTTCCAGAAATCCCTTCAATTGCACTTCGAAGCCCTAACTGATGTGGCTTAAGCTCTTTGCTGTCTGAAGCATTATCGCCACAATGCAAACGACCTAATTACGTGGCTAAACGGCGACCCGTTGCATCTCAGGCCCGTCTCATGTAGGATTATTGACGACACTTATCGTTAGACTTTCACTTCCATTGGAATAATTATGTCCCCCCGTTACCTTTCTTTAGACAGCAGTTTTAGAGACCCAATGGATCACTCCTTCTCCGAGTCACCATGCGAACTAAAATTCAGACGAGTTTAGGATGGGCTAAAGTTAACATCAATTAAAAAGGGAACGGGGGATGTTATCGAAAAATAAAATAAGTAAATAAATAAATGAAACACACAGCAAGCTGTTCTCTACATTTCAGACTAAATAGGCTTTACAAGCTGCTGCGTTTAGGAAGCAAAAAAACAAATAGCAGGTTGCATGAACAAAGGAGTTTAATTGTATGGGAATGTTGTGGAAAATCAGTCAGATATATTCATTCATTCATTCATTCATTCAGTCATTCATTCATTCACTTATGCATTTGCTCATTCGGTCTTCTTTTTCTTTGCATTTGTTGGAAGCGGTGACTGAACCAATAATGCACTTGCTTTGCAAACTTAAAACATTGGGTTGTCGTTGTGATCTTTCCGCATGGTGCTCAGTGTCTAACATGTCACTAAAAACCAGACGTTCTTTTCAGGCTTGCGTTTATTTTTAACACATAATGAATTAAGAAGAAACCCAATTAACCTGGCAAATCCGCCTTCCTGATGAGGCCTTTTCGAACAATAATTGTTTCCTGACATGTTGACATTGTATTATGTCCATACGCCATTTGTCTGAGATCTTTCAGACATTAATGTATTCCACCTCAAATTAATGAGTTTCCGCCGCATTTTATTTATGAGCCACACCTTGATCAACACTGAATAAGAACCACCACAAATAACAGCACGCCCATCACTACTGTCAAGACTGATCACGGACAAAAGCATTTTTTTTTATTTTGAGTCATTTGCGAACATTAAGACATCGAGAGCTCTGAAAGGCGTCGCTCTAGTTTCCTGAAGAGATTGGTAGACCACAGGGAATAAAAATAGTTTGGTATAAATGGCCACGAATGCGACGAGTTTAATTGAAACTAAGGTTAATAAAGATTAAAATCAGACAGATAAAATTGTGAGATTTCAAAAAGGATCTATGAAAGTGTTAATTGTACCTGGTGTTGTGTAATTTTGGTCTGAAATCGTACTTGTGATTTTGAAATTACCGGTACAATTTCCGATCAAAATCGCACTCCAC